TGGAGTTATCGTGGACAGTTCTCTGAAAACTTCCACACAGTGTGCAGCGGTGGTCAAAAAGGCAAATAGGATGCTAGGAATTATTAAGAAAGGGATAGAAAATAAGACCCAGAATATCTTACTGCCCCTGTATAAAACTATGGTACGCCCACATCTTGAATACTGTGTACAGATGTGGTCTCCTCACCTCAGAAAAGATATTTTGGCCTTGGAAAGGGTTCAGAAAAGGGCAACTAAAATGATTAGAGGTTTGGAACGGGTCCCATATGAGGAGAGGTTAAAGCGACTGGGACTTTTCAGTTTAGAAAAGAGGAGACTGAGGGGGGATATGATAGAGGTCTATAAAATCATGAGTGGTGTGGAGAAGGCCGATAAAGAAAAGTTATTTATTAGTTCCCTAAATAGAAGAACTAGAGGACACCAAATGAAATTAATGGGTAGCAGGTTTAAAACTAATAAAAGAAAGTTCTTCTTCACACAGCGTGTAGTCAACCTGTGGAACTCCTTGCCAGAGGAGGCTGTGAAGGCTAGGACTATAATAGAGTTTAAAGAGAAGCTAGATAATTTCATGGAGGTTAGGTCCATACAAGGCTATTAGCCAGGGGATAGAAATGGTGTCCTTGGCCTCTGTTTGTCAGAGGCTGGAGAGCGATGGCAAGAGACAAATCGCTTGATCATTGTCTTCGGTCCACTCTCTCTGGGGCACCAGGTGCTGGCCACTGTCGGTAGACAGGATACTGGGCTAGATGGACCTTTGGTGTGACCCAGTACGGCCGTTCTTATGTTCTTATGTAGGTTCTTGTGGGCTGCAGTTTCTCCTGAGGGGGAGGAACAGACACGCACTTGGGGTGTGTCTGTTTCCCGTCACCACAGTGCTGTTCTTAATGCCTATTCACTGGTCGGCCTTCAGCACCGGTGTTGATTCTCATGCCACGGTGCCCATCTTCAGTACCTCCCTGGGGTTGGGCGCAGTGTGAGAGTGACCCAGCTCCATGTGTGATCCTGTGGGGACTTCTGGGAGCGGATGCTCCTCCCAGACGGGTAGGGCTGCTCCCCAGTGTGGACACGCTGGGGTTTCAGGAGGATGAAGCTTTTCCGGCAGGCGGTGCAGTGGAAGGGCCGCTCCCTGGTGTGGATGTGCTGCTGGTGACAGTCAGATTGAAATACTTGCAGAAGCTCATCCCTGGCTGACTGCAGGTAAAAGGCCGCTCCTCTGTGTGGGTCCTCTGGTCCTGGGCATAGTGCTCCTTGCAGCCAAAGGCCTCGGGACACGGCATGGAGGCACAGGAGCTCGGGATCTGAAAGTATCAGTTACCGTAACGGTTACGTGCAGGCTCCTGGCCCCTCCCGGTGAGCCAGCTGCCGCACCGTGTATCAGAGCCCACAGTGTGAGGTGGCAGCTGGCTCCCTGAGAGCAGGGCCAGGAGCTGGAGCGGGGCTGGAAGCCAGCTTAAAAGAGACAGCAACGCAGGGCGGCAGCTGGCTCCCCAGGAGCGGGGCTGGCAGGCGGGAGCTTGTGTGCGCCGGCAGCCAGCTTAAAAACAGGCTTACAGCATGCACTGGCTTCCAGGGAGCCCGCTGCTGCCCTGCGGACTTTGAAGTATAAAGCTTATACTCTAGAGCCCGCAGTGCAGCCGGCTCCGTGAGATTCAGCGGGGAGAGGGCTCCATGTGCTCTGGCTGCTGGCCCTGCTCCCGGGGAGCTGGCTGCGCTGCAGCTTCTGCAGCATAAACTTTATACTCGGAGTCCGCAGTGTGTAACTGCTGAGATTTGTAGCGGTTACACAGTTACCGAATTCATTGCTTTTTCCCATCCCTAGTAGAGGCGCTCGCCCGTGTGGGTGCAGTGGGGGCTGCTGTGCAAAGGCCTTGCTGCACTTGCAAAGCACCCTGCCCCCCTTTGGTCTGACCCAGTATGGCCATTCTTATGTTCTTATGATGCCAGTGCAGGTGTGGGGCAGGTAGAAAGCCTGCCTGAGAAGGCTGCTGGCCAGGAGTCAGGCAGGTAAGTCTCTTGGTCAGAGCCTGCCTCTGGCACCCCAATCCTCTGCTCGCTCCACCCCATATAACCCAAACCCTCTGCCACCCTCTTGCACCCCTATCCCCTGCCCAAGGTCACAACTCAAACCCCTGCACCCCAGTCCGCTGCCCCAGGTCACAGCTGCCTCCTTCACCCAAACTCCCTCCCATACCCCAGACCCTCTCCGGCAAGCTCCCTTCTGCACCCAACCTGTCCCAGACCCCGCACCGCCTCCATTAATATCATAGAAGAGTGCAACCCTTGACCATGTTCCAAATTCTTGGAGTGGCCCCCCCCATCAACAATTATTACTCACCCCTGCTCTAGGACTTCCCTAACAGGGCCCTCTTCTGATTTGATCCCAGCCCATCACCCACTGCAACAGAACAGAATCCAGCCCTGGATTTTGTTTTTTTAATTTCATTTATTTGGGCCAGAAGAAGCCACTGGGACTGCAGCCATTGGCTACATATGATAACCCCCGCCCCCCCCCCCCC